TTTTTTTTTTTTTTTTTTTTGAGATTTTGAATTCAGTATTTTCAAACTAAAGTTTAAGCTTTGGTAACCTTTTTATTGTATAATCTCAATATTAAGTGGTTTTTCAACCAATAACTTTATGCAAGTCGATTAGCAGTAAGTTTATTAATGTTGAGTCTGTATGCGAAAGGTGAGTGAGATAGATGGTCGTTCTTTGTTGCGCAATTATGGAGCGGAAAAGCATCGCTATGTAACAGAGCAGCGAGGAAAATTGTAAAAGCAGACAAACTTTTTCATTTAGTTTTGTAATGTTCACCCTCTGTTTTATGTGTCGAAGCTTTGTTGAAATGAAGTCATGACCTGCTTTCATTAAGTCGAAAAAAGATGAATTCTCACTTATTTTCAATCGTATTTTAGGACATGACTACAGGGCTGTTGACGTTCGAATTAATCTTCGTTTTTTGTATGACTGTTATTTTACTTAACAAGTATGGAAATTGGCGGAAGCAACATTTTATAGTAACTATATCTACTTTGGTTGGATGGTATTTCTCGTTCATAATTATCTTTGTCTTGCCGCTCGATATAGCAATTGTAAGTTTTTATTTTAACTGCTGAATAAAATCTTTTCGGGGGGGGGGACTTGCGCATTATTGTGTTGTGTATTTTTACTTCATAGTTGTTTTGAAGACTTTTTATAATCGTTGTTTGGTGGACGCTAAACAAAAAAAATTGGAGTCGAACGTAACTCTTGAGTGTGAAGAACCTGATGGTTTTGTTGAAGATTATGTGCTGCGAAGATTGTGGCGTATTGTTTATTGGACTGCCCAGTTGCTGACCTGGTAAGTCATAGAACGCGCTATTTTTTTAAGACGATATTTTACTTTTATCGAGCTGTACAGTGTCGTAGCACTTAACTTCGAGATAATTTTGTTTTCCAACTGTTATTTTTCGTTTTAATTCTCCCCTGTTTCGTTCGGCCTTTTAAAGTTTTTAAAATTTTATGCAGTTAAATTGGTAAATGTTTTATTTTTATTTAACGTATTTAATACTTGTTACTTTTCACTGTTTGGTAGGGCCTAGCGTTTTCAACACAAATGTTATTTTCTGGAATTAATAGTTTTAATTTTACATGCGTTTGATTTCCAGTTCTGCCATTTTTGTTTTAGGATTATATTGCCTTTGATGCAGAGTTATTCGAATGCCGGTGACTTTACTACAGTTGGTCGGCTTCGATCCGCTGTCTATAATAATGTGGTTTACTATGGGACGTACCTTACAGTCTTTATACTTCTTCTTATATATGCTGCATTTAAAGGGATATCGTTGAATGGGTAATTAGTTATCATTGCCACCTTTTGTGTGTTGTTTGGTTTTGATTATCAGTGGCTATGTTTGTTAAAGTTTTGGAATAACTATACAAACTTTCTAATTTTCAATTGCAGGGAGCACCTGAAAGTTATTTTGATCTCAGCCTCAAACACTTGGGGACTATTTCTGTTAGTTGTTCTTTTGGGGTATGGGTTGATTGAAGTGCCGCGGCAGTTATGGCAAATGGGTGACAGAGGTAGTATTATTACGGCTTTTATTATTTTTCTTGATTCAATACTACAGAAAATTTATTTGACGATTCGTTTTACACCTGTTCCCAGAAAATTTAGTTTTCACTTAAAAATAAATAATCAGCGACCTGAAAGTTACCCAACTGTTTGTTGTAATTTTTTTAATTATGTGTCAGCTTTTAGGATACCGCTTGAATAAAACTTATTTTGACATTGATAAATTGTCTACTGACAGAAATGAAGCTGAAGATTCTTTGCACGACGTTTACAAGTTAGTTCTAATCATGTGACTGCCTTCTTTCTTCGATTTGTTACTAGACTCTTCTATACCGTAAATTTCTTCCTCCAGTGAAGCACGAAGTGCACTATCGCTGTTGCGCAATGAACACGTTTTACGAGAATACGCACAAGCAGTATTAGCCAAATTTTCTCCAGACTTAGTTTCTCAAATCACATCTGCTCGTTCAACTCTTCCAGCAGCTTCTAACGTACCAACTGATGAGCAAAGTTTTGTTGCAAACGAGAGTTATTTGGTATTTTTTTTCTCTTTTTCGTTTCTTATCAAATTACGAATCAATTTATTTAACGGAAAGTTTTAATTAATAATCTATCTTTGGCTTCAACAAGTGTCTGACAAGTATATGAACAGTACCCATTAAGTTTTTTTTTCTTTTTGGTTTGGTCGGTGGCAAAGTAAAATTGTTATAAACAAGAAAAGAATTTAGTATACTTTTTCAAAAATAACAAACTTAGGTTATGCAGATTTATTATTGCTGCATCTATTATAAGTTTGTTTTTAACTTTTGACTTTAATAGAACGTTGAGATATATCTGGAATGAGACAGCTTGGGACAGTCACAACAAAAGTCAGTTGTATATCTAATCTTTTATGTTCGAGACATTCTTGAAAATTTCTGACGGCTGCCTAATATGGTTTTTTAAGTATAAGGAAGGTCATTTTAAGGCTTTAGAGGCGCCTTTTTCAAATTTTTCTTGAAAAAATTTTTGCCCTGATTTGTGGTGGATTTTGCGTGGTTAACGACGTTCTTTTTCGCTGCAGTATTTACCCTTTATTTCCAAAATGTTTGTTAAAGTGTGGTTACAGTGGTCCTTTAGAATCGTTTCTTGGTAAACTTCAGAATGGGTCTTCACTTTTTGTTAGAAAAAGTAGTTCAACCTTTCATACAGACTCTTCTTGGCTTTTGATAGGTAAGAAGGTTATAGTACGTCACAGCTAACTTTCTGAGGTCTTAAATAAGTAATGCCTTTAGTTTGATCAACTCTTGGCTTCCTCTCCTTGTACGGTTTGTGACGTTATGGGATCTGAAAGAAATCTAGTTCTCGGCCAGTGTTCTGGTAGTTTAGGTGTCTGCGACATTTTAAAGCACTTTTTTCTTACCGTTTTGTTAAGAATTGGCTTGGGTAATTGAAATATGAAAAAAATTCAAAGTTTTTATGGGAACTTTCTGTAATTCAATTGCTGTATAATTTATGATGCACGTGATATTTGGAACAAAAATAATTCATTCTTTAAATTTTCAGGCACTCTGTACGACAACAGCTTCCTCTTTTTTGCTTTTTTCTCTTTGCTTAAAAGACTATTAGTTACTGTTTGATTCGTAGTTGTATTGCTTAAAGCTGCGACGACCAAGAAATTTTAAGTCTCAATAGAAATTTACAATGAGTGCTAAAGATTTTTCAGTGGCTTGCCACGACTATTTTTTTGAGTACAATTTGAGGTGAAAGCGCTAAAAATTGATTTTGGAGGGCACTAGTAGAACTTTCTTTAAATGATCTGGTATAATCAGTGTTTTTGCTTTTCAAAAGCTATGAATGCACTTGCCTAACCCTAATGTGTTTAGTTTTCGTCTGTATATTGAAACTGCATTCTTTTTCGTCTTCTAGAATATTGTTTTTCAAGATAAGCCTACATCGCCGTGTGATAAAAGTTATTCAAATGCATCATCGAACTCAAGCTCAGTGGCAGGCTTTAATTAGGCTTGCGCTACATTTGGAGAATGTTCAGCAAGCGGAATGTACGGGACAGTTTGTTAGGTAAAAAGCACATACGTTCTAAACTATTTCTGTAGATTACTGTCAAAATTGCAGAAGTATTTTTTAGCTAATCTTTTGATTTAAGGCTTGACAGTAATGAGGGTCGTTGGGTATGTTGCAGCAATCGGATGGAATATTTCTGGTTTGTTCTCATAAAACCTCGTTTACTGAAAGTACATATTTTTTCTAATCTTCAATTTTTTTTCATTTTCTCCACAGTTCGGACTTGCTTTATTTTCTCAATTACTTTCGTTGAAAACAATGAAAAAGTATAATTTTTCGATTTTTAAAGCTAAATCGCAATGAGTTTAAAATCATTTTCAGATTCTTGGAGTTTTATGTTTTGGAATGACGGCGTTTATTATGTGGAGCGAATGTACTTTTTTCGTCGTTCATCCGACATTATCACTTGCTGCAAAAGTAGTTGGTGCAGCTGCTTTGACCTATCATTATTTGCAAATCCAGGTTTAAACGATTCTACCCATATCTTACAGCGTTTTCAGTTTTATTGTTTTACCAAAAGTATTGATGCTGTAATCGCTTAAATACCTCAAATATTGTTTTCTAGATCTGGTCTGTAGCAATAATAGCATACCTGTGTATTTGCGCATATTACACCGTTTTCAAACTTCGAATATATCGTTACTATCATCTTGATCCTCATCACATGACTGATGAAAACAGCCTCCTTTTTAGTGCAATGTAAGTTCTGCTTTTTTTTTGCTGTTGCTTTGAAACGTTTAGTATGACTTGCGTTATTTGATGTGTTTTAATATTTGCGTTGGTAAAATGTGGTTTTTTCTTTTATAGACTGCTATGCAGGTTAACTCCTCCTATATGCCTTAATGCCCTTGGAATGATTCATTTGGATTCTCATATCACAGCTGATACTGAATTTCGTGTTGAAACGCAGTTTACTAAAGTAAAATTTTTCTTGGTTGATTTTTCTGTCTTCGGGTCAATTAATTTATTTTCATATGAGAAGCTCTTTAGTTCATGGGCCATCTGGATGTAATCCCGATTTTAGCTAAGGGGATCAACATATATCTTCCTATACTGATTGTTCTTCTGTGTCTTGGTACCTGGTTCCGGTAATTACTTTCGTTTTTCAATATGCTTTTGCATTTAAAACATGGATGAAAATTAAATGACTAACGATCTGATCAATTAATCTTTCTCGTCGTGGTTATTTTATCATTTTAGAGTAGGAATTCGACTTTTACACAGCTTAGGAATAGACCAGTTTGTTGGTGATGACGAGATGACTGCCGAGCTTATTCATGGTGGAAAGGCATTAGTCTCTTTGGGTAATTAACTGCACACTCCT